ACTTTACCATATTTATGACACATAGCATCCCGAAAACGGCAAGTGCTTCGTAGATGAATCCTTCCACAGGAAAAACACGGTTTAATGTTTTTGATCTCTCGCTGCATTCTATTACCTGTGGACGGCAGTTTGGATTGCTTTGCATGACCACCTGTATTTTCGACTTTAGAAAGCATAACATCAGACACTGACGTAGTGGGAGCAGAGTATTCATTATTGACATCTTCATATGTAATACATACATCTTTAGCAGTTTGAAACGTACAAGAAGGAATCTGAATTAACTCTTTCACTAATTTAGGAATATTGATTCCAGCAATTAGACGATCACGTAGTTGAGTATGCAGCTGATCTCCAAAGTTACACTTTGAAGCTTGAATTTGAAGAATGAACTCTCGAATCTTCTGGTTGGGAGCACGAACCAGTTTGTTGAATTGAGCCCTCTCTCGTGTCTCAAAAGTAGTTATATGGAAGTGATGTATCAGAAGTTCACGGAGCTTACCATATGGCGGAGAAATGGGTTTATCTGGAAACGACAGAGTCTTCACTAGGCTATATGCATCTAGCCCAATAGCAGTAATGAAATGTGCTGGTATTTTTTTATCTCGAATATTCTTTGAAATGCACCACGCATCGAAGCATTCAAGGTAATCAGCAATCTCCCGCGGAGAACCATTTATATGAAATTTTCCCAGGTTATTTAGTCCCATCGCGACGCCAATTTGTAGTAATTTATTGTAATCGTAGTATTAGTATTTCGAGATGACCGAATTACACGAATTCAACCAAAACACAGAGAGGGATGAATTTGGGAATTTGTATTTGGCGGAATTATATTGCAGTTCATATAAGAAACATATTAACAGTCAACAGTAGTATTTAAACAATACAGAGATAAAAATTGTCAATCACCACACCTTGTCTTGCCTCTTATTTCTGCCTAAAATGGTTGTACACGTTTATTTGAAAATCGCCGTGAGATAATTATTTCCAGCGTCCTTCCACGCTGGTCTCCTCAGTGATGCCACGTAGTGTCGGACTTGGCTCTGATATCCGTAGCGAAGGTTTCCTTTGTAGTTTTATTTTTCAGTTTCTGAATGTAGAGCTTGAATTTCTACCTGTCACTAGTTGTTTTCATGGGTTCCAGCTTCACCTAAAAGGTTCCTAGCCCACATCTGACCCCTTTTTGACTTTGTATCCAGCAGGCTGCGTCTCCAGCCCCTTGAGCCACATTGAGATGAAAACTATTTGGTTTGTGGTATATCCGTCAGGCGAAATCCATGTTGCTTTGTGTATATGCTTGCGTTTGTACACGATCCCTACAATCATAGAATTTTTGAAAGCCCGGAAGTTTGCGAATTATTCTCTATTATGATTTATTTCGCCTAGCCAGGGCCTCTTGACCCATGATGAGTTCTCTTCCGGTATTGTCTGCTCCCGTTTCAGCTGGCATTCATACCGCCTATGAGGATTTTGTTGTCACCATTTGAAATGTTGTCTATTACTCTTTGTAGTTGTCTGTAAAAATCATCCTTCTTCCTTTGTTCCGCGTTGTTTGTAGCATTGTGCGTTGCACTGGATAATTGTGACGTTCCTGTCTTCCTATTGAGTTGAATCATGCTGTCATGATCCTGGATGAAATTGGTTCCCACTGCATTAGTTCTTTGGCTGCCATTAGTGACATCATGATAGCCACTCCCTGCCTCAGTGTGCTCTTGGTTGTCGTCTGGGTGACCGAACCGGAGTAAATTACTGACTCCCCCGTCGATATTGTTGTCAATCCATATCCATTACATCTGTTTTCGCAGATATCCAGCACTTCTAAGCCTTATCTTCTCATTCCGTTAACCACCTGGGCAGCCTTCTCAGTCTCGCACATTGTACGGATATCCCACTTTCCGGTTCTTATTCTTGCTTTTATCATGAGAGAGAAGGCACACCGGTTGACTGGCTTCCTGAAGATGGCTTTCACCAGCCCGCTGTATCATTTCGCCTTTCTGATTCGAGTGAAGAATAAGATTCATATTTGAAGTTTTTGCATTTTGAATATGTTTTCTGTGCGTTGAAGTTTCTCTAGAGGTTTGATAGGTTTAGGAGTGTAAGGTTTCTAGGCCCACACCCAACCCTCCTTTTTTACCCTGGCTTGGGACCGGCTACAAAACAAGCCAACTAGTTAACTAGGCGAGGTTCTGACTAACTGTAGGGCGTTTGTTCTTCTCCACTGACTCTTTGTATTTACCTTTGTAATTTTTCGTTTTTATGCATTTTTTGAAGGTTTCTTTAATTCTACTTCTTCCTATATATTATCTTGAATTATTTGCAACTGAAAAATATTGCAAATGAAAGTTACCTAAAAATAATTTGTCAGATAAGTCATTTTTATTAGTTAGTGGTCATGGTAACAGAAAGTGTTAATCCTAATATTTGTTTATAAGCTATCAAATCAGTTGAAAGTTAGCTATTAAATATTATGTAAATTGACTGTGAAGTTTGTCTACTATGGTAACTAAATTTATAAGGATATACTGACTAGTCGGTCAATAAAAAAAAATCAATGTAATAATTAAGCAGCGAGATAACTTCTCCCTTTTTGTATATGACGTCTGTTTCCTTTTCTTTGTCTCGTAATCTGATTATCGTTGTCTTTTACCTAAAGTGTCTAATCTATAATTGGAAGAACGTGGATGGTGAAAAAAAGGCTGAGATTATATCTCAAAATTACATGCTTAATTGATCTTTTTCTAAATGGAAATGTTAGACAATAGTTGTAGGTAAACTGCTTGCTTATATTAGTATAATTCAAGTTTATATATTTGAAATTTACCAAGTGACTATCAAGATTCTTTTAATACAAAAATAAATTAACGCTTAATGTGTATGTTATATGAATGTAGCTGCTAACTCTAAGTGTTAAAATCAAATATCATTTTTAATGAAGATAGTAGTTATGTGACGAGTGCGACTGATAAGATAGTATAACAAGAGACGTTCATCGGCCTGAAAACATCAAATAGCTGGGAGATACATTTGATGTCAGAGAAGGCAAATGATACGGTGTTACGGAGATACATCGGATACGTGAAAAGAACACAAAGAAACACAACATGAAGTCCAAAATTACTACAATACGAAGATCTGTACAAATGGTGCGTTGAAGATAAGGTGTACATAACTTGGCTATATAGAGATCCAAAATTACTGATCATTATTACTAATTCTTATTTATTACTTATTACTAACTGACAACAGAATGGGTATTCCGGTGTCTCGGTGACAAAATGTGATCAGTGGGGTCCACCAAATCTGATATGAGGAGCGATGATCTCTGATGACATTGAATGGTGCTATATCACAAATTTTCAGAAGTCAGAATTCACAACCCTTTGGATTTCAACCCGGTATCTGGTTAACAAGTGCGTCGGTGGCACAGCGGTTAGGACACTCACCAACCATGCACACTGTCCAGGGTTCGATCCCCGACCGACGCATTCCTTTACCTAACTTAACCAGTAATAATGCTGGTAAAGAGGAAAGGTTGGGCATGGAGCTAGGAACCCCATCCTGTAAAAAATTAAACACTGCTACAGAAACTTCAAGCCTGTAGCTTGAAACCCTATGCTCCACTGCGAACGTGAAGGAAAAAAACCTGATTAACAGTTTTGACTCGTGACGTGAAAACTTTGTATTCGATATCCTCTAAGACTATGGGTGCTGCCTATTGAAGAATATTAAGCCAGAATGAAACATGTGTCCAGTACTACTTGTCTTTTAGTGATTCTCTAACTCTAACTTGAGTATCAATAATTCTTGTTTCAGGAGTTGGATTTATTGATAATTAACAGTTACGTTTTTTCTGCAACCTAGGGAATATCCATGTAAATAACTGATGAGATACAAATAACATTCCGCAATGCTTAAATCAGAAGTTTCTCCAGTATGCAGTCACACTATAAATAAATTCTTATTAAGCTTGATTGTACACAAGAATGGAATACCATTCGACTACTGTATACCTGCTGTGTCAATACTTCTAATTAAAATCTGCCGACCAGGTGTGTACAGTGTAAGTATTACTTGTATATCAAAATGTACATTAATCAGCAGTCAAAACCCAACAATTGAATAAGTTACCACCAAGTGACCCCTCTATGATGTGTGGTATGCAATTTACAAGTCAGAATGAAACGTCCCAATTAGTGCGGTGCTCATATTCAATTCTGTGTTTAATCAGCTGAATTTGTGTGTCCCTTGCAACCAGTAAAACAGGATATCAGTAGGAAGAAAAAATCAACAAACCAACGTCAGCTTAAATGTTTTATATTCCTGGAAATTTGAGTATACAGTTTCACTAGCCCATGAACTAAGTTGACATGAGGAGACGGAGCATGAAAGAAATAATCCAACGAAATAGTGTCCTTTTAACAACTTTTTTACTGCTTTAAAAACGACTGATTATGTGATAGAGACGATTATTAAGCATATCCCTTTTTTGAAGTGGCACCACCTGCTATATCCGGTGTGTATTAGCACGTTTCAATAAATAGGCCAAGTATACTAGCATGATTTTATGAAAATTCAATGATATACTTTTGACTTTTGGACCTGTCGCCTCCATTAATCCATTACCGTGCTCAAATGTCAGTGTCAAGAGACATTTTAAAATACAAGTGCGGCAAATGTGACTCAGTTCAGGTAAATTAGGCCACCGATATTCTGTACGCCAAAAAATATTTTTCTCATGCGAAATCTCATTTAAAAAGCATATTAAATAATAACTTGCCATTAAACCACCGCAGCTAAGCACTACAACACTACAAATAATGGCGGTATGCAATAAATCCATTCATATGATAGCATATTCTTCTAATACCTGAATATATACTATCTAAACCGAACTACGTCGTAATGTCCAGAGGATGTAGATTTATTTCGAGACTTTATTAATATTCTGTAATTTAAAGATTTAACATTTTAGAAGACAAAATAAATAAAATAAATAACTCAGAAATATATTACTAATTAGTACAGAGCGTCCATGTAACCGTTGCCAAATTTGTTGTAACTGTCGGTAATAATGCTGAGATTTCGGTTGGATACTGAATGTAATGGGAAACTGTATTGAAGACTGAACAAGACTGTTTTCTCTCAAATACATTCGGTTTGAAAGAGACAGTAAAAGTGTGGATTTGGATTGGTTAATCAAAATTTACGATGTGACGAAGTCTGTTAATAGTTTAACGCTATGTTTACCTACTTCAGTCTACGAAATTAATCATTTAAATTGTATGAAATAAGTTATGGGTACGCTTTCAATAATATCCAACTTATAACAACCTTATTCAACAGCTATATGATAATGCCACAAGTCAAGGGATTCGCAGGAGGAAATTCAGTAAAGAAGTGAAGACAGAAGTATAACAAAACTGACTACTGTCTGCTGCACTCAGCATCATGGCGACAAATTGATTGTAATATGTATCTCAAAGGTCATTATAATATGCTAATTATAATTTGTAGTGTGTAAATTACTTGTCGAAATAATACAGTGCGCATATAACAAAAAAAAAATAAAATAAAATAATGATCAACAAACTGAATTCACTTTGCATTTCACTCCCTTGAAACAACAATCAACAAAGTGACATAATACAAAATATTTGAAAAAAAAACACAACTGCAAATGAACTCCACTTATACTTACCTAATATGATAAGCAGTTATTGTGAACACTGTACACATGTACACAATTAATAAACAGGATGTATATTAACAGTAGATCAATAGAGCTAATAGAAATGTATTTAGAAAACGATATATTGGTATAGATATATTTTTAAGGATAATTTATTATGTCATTTCATTTCATTTGAACAACAAGTCAGCTAAACAGCTGTATGCATTAAAATACAAGTTCCATATGATCATATAAGTGGTTTGATATAAAGGATTCTGATATTCATAAATGATTTCTATTATAATCCGAAATAATTTGAAAGCCTGATGGGATATACATAAGGGTATGCTAACGGTCAACGTACATAAACGTCAGTTGTATTTACCCTCCTTAAAGAGACAAGAGGCAGACATGAAAGTGTTTTTGTGAACAGCACACAAACCTCTATTCAGTTTACTCTTCGGTTACATTCGGCTATATCACAATGCAAACTGTTTTATTTACTTAAGGGTGAAGAAATCAGCATTTGACCCGAATTCACGATTTAATATTCACCGATGACTCTGAAGTGAAGACTGCAGCAAGATGAGATTGCCCACTATCACCGATAATATTTCTGATTGTGATGGACTGGACCATGCATAAAACCGTGTAAAGTGAAAGGAAAGGAATACGTCAGGCCGACAAAAAGACTGCAGAAGATTTGGACTTCACGGCCTGTTTGAGTCACTGGGTTGCATGAATCGCCATTCAACACAATTCGTCATATTTTCTTCAATCCTTATAGTTTTAACCAATCACTTACTTTTTTGAGTCGCAAAGTATATCCATCACATTTCTGATTAGTTTTCAAACTGTCAGTGTACATTTCTCAGAAATAAAGGAAAGTTGTTATGCGGGATTAATCTATGCTTCCAATAGAGCAGCAGTGTACCAAATGATATACTACAGATTGTTAGTGTACTGGAAGATCCTGAATGAAGACAAAATAATATGCAAAAAATAACTCTGAGAATTCTATGCATTGTGTAGACATTTTGTCCAGATTAAAGCTATTATTATTATTATTAATGTTTAATGTCACACATACTCGATGACCTAAAGACGAAAACCAGCTAGTTGCCAGAAGAAGCAGCCGAGAAAGGACATCAAGTGGAGATAGAGATGAGAGTGGTGATGAAGATAACCCACCAATCAGCAACAAGCACCAATCACTATCAACGGGAGAATTTTGAAGGAAGTCACTTCATTCGATTATCGTGGCAGCCTATTTTTAACTACACACTGCACGGATGAAGACGTAAAAGCTAGACAGGATCACTAAAAAGCACGAGAGACCATCATTAATTTGAAATCTGTTTGAAAGTCTGCTGCACTTAGCATAAAGAACAAGATTTAAGTTTACAACATTAATGTCATTTTAGTCAATGCTTTTGTATGGCTCAGAAACTTGGCAGGTCACAAAAAGCATTCTGAACACGCCTCAAACTTATCAACATCTGTCTTTGTTCCATACTGAGGGCCAGTTGGCCAGGCAGAGAGGATTCACAACAAGCAACTCCGGGAATGAAACAACCAACAACCATTCGCCCAACAGATATTCACAGAGAAATCAAAATGAATCGGACACACACTTAAGAGACTGTTGAGTAACATCGTACTCTGGGCTGAAGAGTGGAACCAGAATGGGAAATGACGAGTTGGGCGTCTATGAGTGACATTGAGGAGGTCGAATGTGGAGACTTGTGCATAACTGTACAGCCGGCCAAAAAGGACTCCAGAGAACAGGATGAAATGGAGATGAGCTACTGAAACTTTATGTTCCACTCATAACCCACGTGAATAATAAAACTCATACAACATTTAATCTAATTAGTAAATGAATTAATATATACTCGTCACACACAGCACTGATGTGTTGTTGAAGCCTCATGTTCCATTGGGAACCCAAAGAAATAATAAGAATACATACAGCACTTAGTATGAAAACAAATGAATTGGACAAGTTTATATACCTAGACATTTAAGAGATGACAGATCTTGCACTAAGAAATTCCAACAGGTCCTGATAATATCAAGCTAACAGTGTCCCATAAATCTTTCACACAAAATAAATAGTGTAACATCTCTTAGAGCTGGACCGTCCATTTACATTAACTAATTTAAACATATCTATAGCTCTTATGAAATACTTACTGAACTATACATTATGCTTAGAGAGTAGTGAACATATATTCATGAAATGCATCACTGGTGTTTAAAAAATTATTGCTGAAATTTCAAGCATATTTTCAGTCGATTTTTTTTTGTAAAATTCTAAGCAGTTTCTATATTCCATATTAGACAGGCCAAAAAAGAACAGAGAGAGAAAAAATATCTGCATTCTATTAAGACAAAAATCGATTAAACTGTCATCCAAACTGTATCTTTTCATTTGCCTCCTTTTTTTGAGAATGCTGATATAACCATCACGCATCTGCCTTCTTGATGTGAATTACTTTGAGCTTGAACGCATTAAAAATTTCAGGTATGCCTAGAAGAGTAGGTTGCAAAAAGGAGTAGAGCTTTCTAGAGGTTTGTAGCTGCACGAAAAGACGCAAGAAAAGAATGTCTAATTATAGTGGTACAAAATTTTACCACATGATTTATACCCATACTCATTGAAGTTCAAATTTTCAAGTATTAGTTTTGTAGGGATTTAGTTCGATTGGATGGAGGATTTCATCATGAGTTGACATCAGTTAGAGAACCACTGGAAAACCCGCCTGGGAGTACTGGACAGCTGTTTCGTCCTAGTTTGGGACTCCTCAGCAGTACGCACCCACCGGGGTTCGAACCCAGTACCTTCTGGTTACAAGGCGAGCTCGTAGACCATTGAGCCACTGGGACCCGACCCAATGGCCCATGAATTCTCCAGTGGTTCTCTAACTGATATCAGCTCACTATGAAATCCTCCATCCAATCGAAGTTCAAATTAACAAGTTGGTATTTTACGAAGATCATCGTTGTAGCATAAAGCAGTGACGTAAGTACGTACATAATTGATAAAATTCACATCCCGCGGATATTGTTTGTTTAACAGTAACGGTCTGTAAGACAATAGGTAACTTACACAATATTATACACTTCCTGTTCTCAAATATATCTCTCTTTGTCTTTGATTTCAATTACTTTCAATGATTTTTATTTATTGTATTTTTCCTTGTTCCAGACAATCGGGCAGTCGTCTCATTTGTATTCATCATTATTTCATCAATAAGCTACTGAATAGATAAACCAATCACCGTACAGCTATTTAACCAATAAGAATCAACAAGTCCTTTTACTTACCTGAGATAGTTGGCATATTTTTTAATATAACTGTGATTTTAATCCTCTTAATGTTTGAATAACTAAGCTAGTCATGTATTTCAAAAGCTGTGATATTTTAGACTAAATGAAATCAGTTAATATATACACTGAAATAAAACAATTCATTACTGTTTTAAAAAAATTCAATTTTCACTTGTCTTCAAGAAATTTAGTGAAATGTTAAAAATGTCCAAAAGAATCAATGATGAAATGAATGTAAGTGCCTTCTTCATTATTGTTTCTCTTAGTGTTGGTGTTGCTAAATTTCTTTATTTTTTATTGTATCATTTATAATACTGATAAGTAAATGCATTGCGAAGTGGTCGCACTATGTCGTGAATTGGCAGAAGTTAGAATTCAAGGACCATTGGATCGGGTCCCAGTGGCTCAATGGTCTACGAGCTCGCCTTGTAACCAGAAGGTCCTGGGTTTGAACCCCTGTGGGTGCGTACTGTTGAAGAGTCCCAAACTAGGACGAAACAGCTGTCCAGTACTCCCAGGTGGGTTTTCCAGTGGTTCTCTAACTGATGTCAGCTCATGATTAAATCCTCCATGAAATGCATAAATCAACGAAATACGCCCATATTGAGTAATAAGAAAAAGATGTAAGCAGCGAGGAAAATTTTCTTTTCAAAGATTCATTTTCAATCGTAACTATGTGTAACCAAAAAATCATAAGATATGCTGGTACAATTAGTCCTCAAAGAACGTATTACGTAACGTAAGGTGTAATCAAGATGGGGTGGCTAATTCGAAATTAAAAAAGAGGTGGAATTTGGCATGACATAATAAATGTGAGGAAATGACTAATCAATATAACTCTATAGAATGGACAGGAACTAGTAGAAAGATGATAAAGTGTTTTTATAAAAAAATCTGTATGAGAACGCAATGCCACTAATAAACAGTAATAAAGTGATAATAAACTATGGAAGATGGGAATAATAATGATAATAAAAAAATAATAAGAGTAAACCTACATAATAAAACAGAAGCAAAATTATAGTAAGAACGTTACTATGGCCACGATAGGGCGAGTGATTGTATGTAGTGATTTCAACTGCAGGGGTCCGTTTTTAGATCCCAAATAGCCAATGATTCAGCTATGTACAGATGGTGTATTCGAAGTTCTTTCATACGATATTGAGGGACTCTGTGTAGCACCGTGAATCATTCATACGACAGGTACTTGATGTCCAGAGTTGACAAGTTGTCCGGGGATTTGGCTGCTAGTATTCTTCACTTCTCCTCTGGCTACCTGGCTAGCTAGGCTGGACAATGTTCCAGAATACATCTGTGAACTTGACGTTGCGTACGGCTGATATACTTTGTTCCACACGAAGAAGCAAGTAAACTGATAAATACACATTGAGGTGGCCAGAATGGTATCTTATCCCTAACGTTAGACTGGGTAAATTGTCGGCTGGAGAATCGGATACGTAAGGTGGCTGCTTGAAATGTCCTCGTCAGATATTCAGAAAGGCGGTGTCTAAGAATTTCTACATTGATGTCACCCTTGAATTCGAGGTTCGTGAAGAGAGTTTTCTTAGGACAAGTTGTGATATTTGGCGACGGAGGCTTTTCCTTCATATTTTTGTCGATGAGTCTTGTTGGACACCCGTTCTCCAGTAGAGCTACATGTAATGAATGATGCATCGGACAGGGATTTTTATAAGACAAGTACATATCCTACCTAACTGATATTTTGTTTCATTCTCTTATCAACGCGACTAGTGTCCGAATGAAGAATAGATATTATGTGTTCTATTTAAGCCTTATCCGTTACACAAGCCCCTGAATCATAGTATTCGTTCCATTCCTCAGGGAAAGAATAAAATAGTCGATGCTTGAAACACCTGTGCGTTGTGCGATAGTCACCACAGTCTACTTTAACATCAAAATGCCTGATATGTCTTTTTTAGGTGGCTATTCAAGCCTTGAAAATCCATAAAGAGAATGATAACAGGAAAACAAAGTTCGCATGACTGAAAAGATCTATACTAACGGAATTTTTTTCCCTCGTGAAACTGACTGGTCTAATGAATCTCATAGGGATATCCGCAACTCATACTGGCAATAAGTGGCAATCATTTATGTCTAAATTCAAAAGGAATGCTTGTCATGTATAAGAAGCATAAAGAACATCAAAGTATACCACATGGATAAGAATAATAACAACATTCCTAATAGCTTCATTCTCAAAAATGCTTTCATAAATGGTACAGAATTCTGTTCAAGCTATATTATAAAACAAATACTCCTTAAAACAAGTTCTCAATTTCGCAAATCAATTCACAATTTACACAATTCGAGGTGATTGTTTCACCACTGTTTCTTTTGGAGACTGAGATTATTCAGATCGGAATATATGCTCCGCTTGGTATCATAAATGATGATTAAGGAACTAAATAATCACCTCCGACTGTGTAAATTATGAATTAATTTGCAAAATTGCTGACTGGTTTGCAGATTGTGAACTTGATATATGGTATCACCAGTTTACTGAAGTAGCTAGCTGGAATTCAGGTTGTTTGTCTTGAGTCTACTTCCTGAGTTGAATCGAACAGCATACACTGCTGAGTAACTCTGCCCCAAAGGAGCTAAATGGCCTTCCTATTACTTATATCTAGCTAGCAAATACTATGGTTGTATATGAGTAATATACAACTACTCTTTCAACCAATCAGTAGTATATAGTAATTTGTATTCACTCCTTGTGTCTAGTCTTCGAGTAGGATAATAATCTGTAGGATATCATTTCATGAAACAACATTGTTCTTTTCAAAGCACGTTCAAATAATCTATACTGTAGGTTAGAAGTTATTTGAAAATGTGCATAGTTACAAATTACGGGTCAAGAATTTAATTGGACAATTAAAACAAGAAGAAATACAGCAAATAAGAAGTGTTTTGATAAATAAAAAATTTGGTAGCCAAGTATTTTGAACAGGCCGCCACTGCTTCTGATGAGTCATAGATATGTGATATGTAATATCAATAAAGCTGCTGTGCTTTCGGGATAGTAAAACCATATGTTATTCATTTTATCTGAACTCAGTAGTCTAAAATAAGATGTTCATACCATCGGAAATCAAGTTTGCAATTGAACAAACAATGATTCGAAACGTTTTTGTTTAAATTTGAGTGGCGGAAATACTCGGCCAACTTTTTATTTATCTGTTTTATTCATTTTCTGTCCTCAGCGTGTATTTTTCATGAGACTTCTAAAACCAGACTAGTTGTCTTCCATTCAAAATTTTGTACATTTTCTTAAGATTATTTCTATAGGGAATATATATATATATATATATATATATATATATATATATATATATATATATATATATATATATATATATATATATATATATATATATATATGTATAATGAACGCATGATAATAAAAACTGAAGAAAATTCATAAATTCTGCGAAATTAATCGTAAAACTAATAATTTATATTGCGAATTTTGGAACGAAAGTATAAAGTTTGAAAGAGACAGTAACAGTGTGGATTTGGATTAGTTAATCAAAATTTACGATGTGACGAAGTCGGTTAATAGTTTAACGCTATGTTTACCTACTTCAGTCTACGAAATTAATCATTTAAATTGTATGAAATAAGTTATGGGTACGCTTTCAATAATATTTAACTTATAACAACCTTATTCAACAGCTATATGATAATGCCACAAGTCAAGGGATTCGCAGGAGGAAATTCAGTAAAGAAGTGAAGACAGAAGTATAACAAAACTGACTACTGTCTGCTGCACTCAGCATAAAGAAAAACAAAATTCGAATTTTCGCCGCAAATGTCAAGTCAGTCACTCCTTCAACATGGGTCAAGAACTTGACGAATGCATCACGAAAAGCATTTCCAACAGGTTGCAGACCTTTATCAACAGCTGCCTTTGCTAGCTTTATATTAAAGATCAAATAGTCGGCCAGAAAGAATTAGCTACAAGAGACTATGGGAACAAACTAAGCAAGAACCTATCATTCAACAGATATGCAGGAGAAAATGACGATGGATCAGACACACTATGGAGACCATTGCGTGAAATCATACGCCAAACTCTCAATTGGAACTCGATTTGGAAACGATGAGTAGGCTTTCCGAGGATGAAATGTAAGAGATCTTGGAAGAGGAAGATGAAAGCCTATTTGCTATTGTGGAGCTAGCTAAAAGAGAAGTGAAGAAAATAGAACAAATTGAAGATGTGCAGTTGAAGCCCTGAGTTATACTTTGAATCCAAGGAAATAATAATAAACGCAAAAATGAGATTGTAATAAGAAGTTGGCTTGACTGATGAAGTTATTGAAAAATGTTTAATTAAATAAAGGGTTAATTCACAGAACGAAGCGGGATTTTTTTTCACTCTTCAACATGAAAATGTCAACTGTGTTTATTGGCGCACTTTTAATTGAGCCAATCAGTGTTACCTGATGACACACTAAAATGGATATGAATAGTTATCAGAAATGTAGCCTTTTAATAAACAAAAAGTTCTAATGAGTGAATTAATGGTTATTCGAGTTCTTGGCTCAAACCGAATTCATCATTTATCACTCATCGTAACGTAAATGTAATCAAAACAGTCGACGTAAAAGCCTGAAGCACTGAAGTCCATGAGAAACTCTTTGATTGTGACCATAAGTCAATCATGATTAAATCCTCCATGCAACCATAAGTTACGTCTAGAAATTTAAAAGAGAACAAATGGCTCTCGCTATCAACTAAGGCAAAAATTGACCAAAGTATTCTCGTTGACTGAATTCTAATTTCATAATGGATTAGATTTTATTTTGATAAATCCTACAGTGTCATACAGTAATATCATCTGATGACGTTTCGAACACAAACTGTTGCTCATTATTATTATTATTATTATTATTATTATATAAGCTTTATTCCAAATCAGTACTTGTGATACAGAATGGAATTCTCAGCATTTTACTACAATATTGCATCCAGTTTTTTTTTACATTAACAATAAATAAAGTTCTACATAGTTTAAAGATTATCTCAACAACATATTAGTATGTCGGTAGCAAAGCCAAAATTAAAATGTTTGAAGGTGTTACAAAAGTAGATACTACTAGCATATTTACTGGCGTAAGCGATAGCAAAATGGTCGAGATATACAGAGTGTAAAAGAACGAACAAGAATGTTTTAAGTAGAGTTTGCAAGGAAGAGAGAAACAAAACAGCACATA